CAAGCATCTTAAAAAAACATACATAGTTCAAATATGGTTGTCTCAGCCACATGAATATCTTGATGAAACAAAAGGCAGGCATGTCATTCTGGAGGAAGCACATCATCAAACACCTGGTCCTTATGGGCCTGAGTAAACACTGTAACTTCTGAGTTGAAACAACCTTGTATTGTTTTAAAAAAAACATCTGTTTATGTGAATTTTAAGATAATCTTGTATAATTTCCAAGATTAACAATGTTATCTGCGGCTAAACTATGTTGAGACCAAAGAAATTTGCCACACCACCTAAGGAAAGGAAGAAGATAGAAGTGGTGCTGCTATTTGACTGCAAGAGAAGCATATTTTCTTCTTAGTATGATCTTAGATACCTTTGGTTTGCCAAAGAGCTTTGGGATTCATGAAGATTCATCACATGACGAAAATGAGTTTGTTTCCATCATAAAGATATACGAGTGCCCCTCATATCATGCAGAAATTTCCTTTTGAGGTCACAGAAAAGGTGTGCTTTGGGATATGTAGACCATGGAGAATAAATTGCTCATAAACCCAACCTCCTCACTGGAGTTTTCACAGAGCCACCTTACTGGTTTTATACGTTCTGTTTTTCACTGTTTGAAAGAACTGGTTTTTTCCTAACTACAGTTGCATCATTAATTTTCTTCATTGGCCCGAATCTTAAAAAAAATTACTGTTGTCCCAAACTACTTGAAAATCAGACATAAGAGCAGGCAAATTCATTCTGAATAATTAATATCTCAAAAATTCCTCCACAAAGTAATGATTGCTTCTATTTGGCGGCAGTGTTTCTTCTCACCTATTTTTCCTTAGCATTCAGTATACAGGCACTGAAAGTTGCAAACCCATAACAGATCTTAGTCAGAGTTCAATAAAACAGGGACTTCTCAAAGTTTTTTTAAAACCCAGTTCTTCTGCACAGGGCTCAGCTCCTGGCATCCTAAGCAGATTTCAGAAAGGTCACATAGGGAAAAGTGCAGCAGTGACAACAGAGCTGTTTCCCATGCACTTGGCTGAGCTTAGGGGAATTCCTTTCTGCCTGCATTCTGTGTGCCTTCCTCACTTCACAGAGGCCTCATCAGTTTTCCAGAAGCCCATAAGAGCCAACAAACAGAATATTTGAATATTAGATATCTTCCATCCCAAGCTCCCTTCAGGATGGTACTACCATAGTTTAACTGCTTCAAAACTGGAATTTGCCCAATGGGTAAAATGTAATCTAATCATTCAATTCAAAAGAAAATTATATTAGACTAGAGAACATGCAGTCTTTTAGAATAATGTTATCTTCTAAGAACATCACTTCTAGAAGGAAAGACAATTGTTTCTGCCCTTCTGCTCTTAGACTCCAAGATATTAATGCCCATTGCTTTGTTTTAAATAATGGTCAAAAAACCATTCTCTGGTATTTGTTAAACATTTATTTTATATCCACACACTTGTACCTCTCTGAACAGATAGGATGTCTCTCTTTTGAGAGGCAAAACTAAAAGCACTAATGATGCAAAAAGTAAAAGCATAATGTAGTGAAAGAAAGGATTGCTAAAGGGTTGTACTCTAGTAAAACAACCCTTTAGTCGCACAGTCCTCTGGACAGCAAAGGCTAATCAGAAACTAATTTTTTGACCATGTTTTGAATTTATTTCCTTTGTAAATTAATCTCGATTATCTGTTACTATTTTCGGTAATTTTAATACTTTTGATAAGCAAGATAGATTTTAATTCTCAATTTCTCCAGAAAAATCCCCAGAAATTTTTAGACATGTGGATCTTGACAGAACATAAAGATGTCTCCAAATAATCCACAGCAATTTAAGACTATGTATTTGGTGGAAAGATTTTACATTTAGATTTTTATGAAAACGCCTCAACTTCATTACCTGAAGGTCAAGATGCTTTTTTGCACTGGCAAGTCTGACTGCATTACACACATTTTCTCTCTGTCAATCTTTAATTGCCAATTAATTCTAGGAATCCACAGCATGAACTGCATAAAAATACCTTGCTAGATGGTATCTACATAGATAATGTTTCTTATCCCTTAATATTCAATATGTATAATCTTAAACCAAGTTACAATGGTTTTATGTTTCAAGTTTCCACTGAAGCAGGTCTTTTTCGAAGCATTAATACCAGCAGCAATGGCTCTCGCGTGGCTCAGTGTGAGGCTGCACTGTGCAGACAGTGAATGGAAAGAGTCCTTTGTTCCATGAGACCTCCTTCCAAGCACTTAGGTACTCCTTTGCCTTTTTCCACCCTTCCTCTTTTCTGGCTTACAAACTGACCCGCACAATTTTATGCAAAATATTCGATTTTTTTAAAATCAGGGTCAGTTTCTGAAAACAAAATAATTCTACCACCAAAACATGGCATTTTATTTGAAGGACTGATTTTTTTAAAAATTGAAACAGAAGTAAGCATGCAATGAGGCAAAGATCCCTAATCCCTGAAAGCTCCTGGGCCTCATATGATAAGACTCTCATGACTTCTTACTAGACCTTTGACCTGACCTCGTTTTTCTAAAGTTTCAGGTTTCTGTCCAATCTAGTGGACATTAAAAAGAAAATAATCTACCAGCAGCGCACTCTTCAGTTTACCTTTTAATGGCAGGTCCAGAACAACGATGGCACACTACTGCTTCCAATACCAATGGTACAAGACTCATTGTGAAGTGTCAAAAGCCAAATGAAAGGATTTTTCATTTTTTTCCTAGTTATTTCTTTATTTTAACTTAGTGTTCCAAACCAGCAAAGGTTGCATAGCAAAGCATTAAAAACCTAGGAAAATAGGATAAGAAAGCCTAGGAAAACCCAGGATAAAGGACATCTTGAGAACCCTAATTTACTTCTAGTTGAGGAAATCATGAAGTAATTCTTTTTTTCACTGTATCAGTCAAAATGTTCTATTTATGTTGGTATTTGTGAAATATTAACAAGTTCATTCTCAGTACAGGAGAAGCACTTGGAAGATACTAGGGAAGCCAAAAAAAATAAAATTAATTACTTTTTCTATAACATAAGTGAATCAATGTAAAACTTGTTTCCCAGGATTATTGGTATGACATAGGCCAGAAAAGAAAGGCCAAGGAGAAATGTATCCCATGATAAGCAAGCAGGAAAAACTGGTGGTGACTGATAGGGAGAAAAATGAGTTATTCAATGACTTCTCTGGCAGTCCCCCTTTCCATTAAAGCCCATGATCTCCCGTGTGATATGGGGAAGTCTCTTCCACTAAGTGAAGAGCAGGTTTGGGATCACTTGATGAAGCTGAGTAGTCTCAAGTCTATGGGACCTGATGAACTATGTTCCAGAATCCTGAGGGAACTGGCTGATGTTGTTGCCAAAACAATCTCATCATATTTGAAAAGTCAAGGCAGTCAGGCGAACTCCCTGGTGACTGAAAAAAAAGGAAACATCGTTTTCGTTTCTAAAAAGAGGAGAAAGGAAGATGTGAGCAACCACAGACTGGTGAGCCTCACCTGTGTGCCTGGAAAAATCATGCAGCAGATCCTCCTAGAAGTTATCCCACAGCATATAAAAGACAACAAGCTGACCCAAGGCAGCCAGCACAGCTGGTATATAACACATTATGTTATATACTAACATAAATAAAACATTTTGACTGATACAGTGAAAAAATAATTACTTCATGACTTTCTCAAGTGGAAATAAATTAGGGTTCCCAAGACATCCTTTAATAAGGGCAAATTGCAACTACCTCAAAAGTTCTACAAGATCAAGTGCCAAATGCTGCACCAGGGTTGGGGAAATCCCAGACATGAACAGGGAGATCAAGTCACTGAGAGCAACCCTTTGTAGGGGTTTCCTGTGGATGAAAAGCTGGAAGTAACCCAAAAATGTAGCTCTCAGCCCAGAAGGACACTTGTACCCTGGGCTGCATGCAAAGAAGCGTGTCTACCAGGGTGAGGCAGTGGGTTCTACCACTCCATGTGGCCCTCATGAGAGCCCATCTGGAATCCTAGGTCCAACTTTGTTGTCCTCAGCACAAAAAAGATGTGGGCCTCTTAGAGTGGGTCCAGAGGATGCCATGAAGATGATCAGAGGGCTGGAGCACCTCTCTGTGAAGACAGGCTGAGAGAACTGGGTTTGTTAAGCCTGGAGAAAGAGAAGGCTTTGGAGTGATCTCACTGCAGCCTTAAAAGGTTCTCATATAAAGGATGCAGGGGGATTTTTATACTGGGAGATAGTGCAGGACTAGGGGCAATGGCTTTAAACTGGAAAAGGGCAGGTTTAGATTAGATGTTAAAAAGAAATTCTTTACTCAGAGGGTGGTGAAGAGCTGGAACAGATTGCTCTGAGAAATTGCAGATACTTCAATCCTGGAAGTGTTCAAGGCCAGGCTGGATGGGACTTGGAACAACCTGATAAAGTGGAACGAGCTCCTGCCCATGGCAGAAGAGTTGGAACTGGGTGACTTTAAGGTCTCTTCCAATCCGGACCATTCTATGATTCTCTTTTCATCCTTACAACTGAATCAGCAGGTAAACCCAGGCATCTTGCGGAAATCACCAAACCACCACTCAAGTAAAAAATCACACTAACAAACAGCTACTCAACGACAGGATTTTAGTCTTGTTTTACCTTGCTCTTCAAGTTATAATCATATAACATGGGTAAATTTTAAACCACAGCAAGCTAAGCATTTTACCATTCATTTTTAACCACTCTTCTAGCCTGTACTTGCCCTGTAAACAATTACTGTTCCAACATGACTTTGTGGTAATTTGTTTGTTCAAAACATGAAATAAGCAAGCAGAAGTTGCTCAAGAACAGTCAATCAAATCAAAATCCATTGTAGCCTCTGTCTAAAAAAGTTGCATCCATTCTGAGAGTTTTTGGTCAAATTAGATACTTTTAGCAAGAACACTGTAGTTGCAGGCAGAGTTTACTGAGTTTATGAACTAAATTCTGACAGAACAAAAGTAGTCAGAGCACATTAAGTAATTTTCCAAAGAGTACTTACTGACGATTGTGATTTGGGCTGTTTGTTGGACCTGCAAACATAAAACAAACAAGTATTGCTGACAAGTTAGCTCAAGGACAACATAATAAAAAAAGTCAATAGCAATCTAAAGGAAATTGTATCTTTAAGGGAGGTTTATCTCAAGCTCCAAACAAAACCCTCTGCATTCCTGAACTTAATTATATATAGTTATTTTCAAAGCCACAAATAAAAATCACATGAATCTACTGCCTGTTCAAGCAGCAACCTGAATGGACTTAGTGTTTTTCATAAAAGATTTTCCACCATAAAGACAAAGGTAGTTAGACAAGGTGTTATTTTAACACATCACTTACCTTTTAATAAGCCCCAACTGTGCCTTACTATCCGAATTTAGGATGCAGCAAGGGGATGATCAATTTTTGCAACAGCAGGAGCAAGGGTCAATACTCAGCCCTTCAATACTCAATAACTACAAATTGAACTGTGGAATCTATTATTTACATTACAAAATAAGAAAAAAATTTCAAAAAATGCATCTAGAATTTTTTCTCCCATTGCCCCACAGGCAAGCTAAATAAAAGGTTGGCTTCCAGATTGGCCTATTAAGTCTCCAAAATGCAATATGAGCACTTGTTCAAAGGTGTGGTATACCTTCACGTGTCAGAAGACAGAATCTGAGGCCACGCTCCACATAGCAGTACAGAACTGATATTCACAAGAATAGGCCCAGAACTATGGACATCACGTAGAAAACCGCTTGTCATTCTTCTCAGCAGTTTTTGGTTTTTTTCACAGACTGAGTTCAGCAGTAGAGTGAAAACTCCAGGCAATGAAATGCTACCTTTTTGTACTTTTTACCAGCACTTCTTTAATTTTTTTTCTTCTGTATATTTACAGACCTCTACATCTATATTTACTTTCTTTTATTACCACTAAAGGGGTATCAAGTTCAACTGAGAAGTTTTGTGCTGGGAGAGAGGCCTCAGGCACTGACTTTATTTTCTTTTGTGTTGAGAATTTTTCGTGAAACATTAAATCCATTTCTCATTATGCTATGGTTAAAACTAATTCCTAGTCTATAAAGCAGTCTGAGCAGTCATAAAAGCCAGGAACTCACCAAGCCTGACAAACAAAACTCCTGTTGCAGTTATTGTCTTCATCCCATTTGAAGCCACGCACTGGTAGTATCCTGTGTCTGTGGTATCCAGATCCTGGATTCTTAGGCGTGAACCATAATCTGTTTTTCTGATGATGATCCGTCTTGGCTCCTGAACCACTGGAGCATCATTTTTCAGCCATCTGACATTTGGGGATGGATTTCCTGCTACCTTGCAGTGGAGGATTGCCGTTTGCCCCTGGACTATAGTGATATTGTTTACTGGTTCCAAGAAGGTCAGGAAATAACCTAAGAAGATAAAAGGTCATAAAAGATCAAACTTTACTTGGGTTGAGGTAAAAGCCTGCTCAAAGGTACTTTTCTAAGAGAGAACCCTGGAAACAATTTTAGTTTTCTTTCAAGATTAAAAAAAAATGCAATTCACTGTCCTAAGAACACCACAGCATCACACTCCAATTTATGTTTCCTTGCTGACTTCATGCTTGTCTGCAGGCAGGTATGCAGATTCAAAGGTCAATCATGAATTGATACTATTACACTCCTAATGTCTATTTGAAGCAGCAGTGACTTTTTCTACATCTGACATGCTAAAATACTAACATCCTAACATACATATAGTGCTGTTCTGTTCCAACAGCAAAAAAACCCTTGCTCCATAAATGAATAATCCCAGTTGTTACCATATTGGAATATCATGGTCATTTTACCACATAATCTTCTTACATGATCACAGATTTGTCTCAAAAAGAACTACAATTGGAAAAATTACTTTTAGATATTTATTTGACTTGTTAGTTACTCAACAAAATCTTAAAATTAGGTTTATTTAGACAGGCCTATATTATAATAAATTTTCAAGATTATATGTCTCACATTCAATTTATAGAAATAACGTCTCAATTGCAGAAATAAACTGTGATAGAGAGGGGACCCATAAGCTGATTATAGACTGCCATTTTTACATCAAGTCAAAATATATGGCCAAGGAAACATCTGTATGGATAGTGTGTAATAACATTTTGTAGATATTTTGTAAGTGAAAACTACAAGTCCCAATTAGTGGTTTGTTAAAAGCAAAGGGCTTGTCAAGGCTGTATTTGTGATCTCTAGGGACGACAAAAAAGAAAGAATTTATGAAGAACACTGTCAAAACCTGACAATCAAATCTTTTGTTGGTTTTTATTTATAAATTTAATTTGGTGTTAGGAGTCCTGCAACTGATACACATCACATACTGAAAGCCTGGCAATATGTAATTCCATTGAAACAATAAAGTAGTTATATTACCTTACAAAACAGGTAAGAAAAGTATCTAGGTGTCACGCTCATGTGTTTGTACCAGTGAATTTAGAGCTTCTAGACATAAAGCTTCAGGAATTCAAATTACATTATATTTTTATGGCAGCTGGATACAAACATCAAATAATTTTGATGGATGCTCACATGTAGACTTTTCCTATCACTCAGATTATTTTGCGTCTGTTTAATTAAGTAATAGCATATTATTGTACACAAATCCAACTCTAGTAAAGAAATGGTCTACACTGACAGTCCAATTGCTGAAATACCTTAAGAAAATTGATGTTATGCTTTGATTTATATTTGACAGGACTGTGAAAATCAGCTCCTCTATAACAGTTAAGTGTAACATTGGAGAAGGGAGTAGTAGAAATATCAGAATATAATAAATGTACAAGCCAGATATTGTTGGAAAACTGGGTTTTTCTGTGTGTTACATTGTTCTCTACCACTGGCCTTTCAAAAGAAATCCTGTTATAATGAATAATATGAACATACAATGTAGGGAAGTGCAAATTTAGTTTGTCATTAAATAGAAAATTATTAGAGTAAGTCCAAACAGAAAATTAAATAAATCCAAATATATAAAATCTCCACACAATATTGAAAATTTACAGGACAATTATTTTATTCTTGTTTGTCATGAAATAATAAATTATTGTTTATTTAATTTTATATTAGTTGTCCCTATTTTTAATTTAAAATCTTTAGCAGACTTCAAAATATTCTGACAGAATACAAACAATATTTGTTTTCAAATAACTTATATAAAAGGGAGAAAAAGTACATTAATGCTTTCAGCAATGTCATACCACAACAATGTAATTTATTATGTTTTTAGCTACATTTCATAGCTGAAAAAATAGAAATACTATGTTGACATTCTGGCAGGGAAAACAAAACCAGTAAATTTACTTCCTGATATAGTCAACTGAAGCCATTGATCAAAACTCCCTTTAAGCCAACATCTTACACACATAATCATTTCTAGCAACATGAAAGAAAGCATGATTAGTCCTACCACATGTTAGAAAAGGATTTTCTATGGCTACTTCACTCACAGCTTGTTATTTCACTATTTTTTCATAGTCTGTATGTAGTTTATTCTCATGAGCACCATTGAGATACTGGGCAGCATCCCCAGGGGTGTTACCTAGCAGAGACAGAGATACCACAATCCCAACCTGCTCAGTGCCTGTCAGGCCACGCTTGGAGTCCTATGTCCAGTTCAGATCCCCAGAATTCAAAAACACAGAAAGACAGCAGAGGGATCAAAGTAGGGCTACCAATATCATCAAAGGGCTAGACAACAAGTCCTATGAGGAAAGATTTCAAGTAGTTATGTCTCTTCTCCCTGGAGAAGAGAACAGCCAAGGGAGCATCATCACTGTTTTTCAGTACCTAAAAGGCACTGACAAAAAGAATAGAGACACTCATCACAAGGAGCTATATGGAGAAGACAAAGGGCAACAAGTGAAAGTAGCCAGGAAATGTTTCATTTCAATAGAATAGAGACATTTTTTGCAGTGAGAACAATCATTCCCCTTGAAATGAACTGCCTAGAGATGGGGTAGGGTCCTCATCGCTGGAGGTTTTCAAGATATGATTGGACAGAGTACTACTAGATTGTCTTGTCTAAGCTTTCTTTCCCCAGAATTGTTGGATTGGGTGATCTTTTGAGGTGCCCCCCAGGCTAGAATGTTCTGTAGTTCTGTGGGCCTCTGGTTCAACAATCATGGGGACAGGCCAAATGTGCTCATACAAGGGAGGCAAAATAGTTTAAAGACCTTTTTTGCAAAGAAGCTGGGCCCCTTTGAGCATGAAACAAGCACAGAGTTATGTTCATCTGGCTCAGAGATGCTTCTGATACCCAAGAAATGAAAGAAGAAGAGATCTGTCTAAAAGGTGAGGCCAATTCAAGTCCTGTAAGATGACAGACAGGGATTGTGGTTTGTCTGGCTCTCTGATATATTTTTTGCTCTTCACATGCAAGTACATGAGAGGGCTACATTGTTCTTGTGACACTGATCAGCTTATACCTTGCTCAAACCCCTGTCATTATTTCACTTTTTCTGATTTAAAATGAGCTGGGTGGAGTCCTCTTTTTGGGACAGTCATGGATATTAAATTCAAATGCATTTGCATGAAAACAGATAGTAAATTTACTCATTAGGACTTAATAACTCAGGATTAAATCCATGTTAGAACTTCCTGTTTTACTAATTAAAACAGAACTACTGCAGGAAGTAATTAGATCCATATCTTTAAGCCACTTAAATATTTCATATGAATCTGTGAATCTGATCCTAATAACAGCAAGAACAAAGCTATTACCATGGAAAGCAACGCCAAAGATTTATGGGTTAATTCAGTCCCAGTGCAATTAGATAGACTTTGCCTGAAGTCAGCGACACTGCATCTATTTCCTGCAGGTCAAAATTCAGCTTTAGTTCATCATTACTCCTGCCAATTTTACAGGTATTTTCTGCAGTGTTTTATACTACCTTGTTATTACAAACCAAGTAATAAATATTTTAACCTAATGAACTTCGAAGCATTTGTGTTTTCCAAAGTTCTCCAGAGCAGCCTAAGAGCAGTGGGCCAGCTCAGGGCCTCTTCTCTGCCTCTGTCCACCCTGAACTGCACACTCTCTGTTTGCTGGTTTAATTTCCTCTTTGAGAAGCGATGTTTATGTCCTCACTGGTTCTGAAGTATTTCTATGACAGGCCGGGCAGCCATTTGTTGAGCTGCTCTGTTATTTGGTGTCCACTTTAGATAACCCATAATTGCAATTCTTTCAAACAAAGTGGAAAATTTAACCAACCATGTTCTAAAGAATGTTTTCTTTATTTAATTTCCGTGGTGATAATCAGCAGTTACTTTTTTGGTAATGTACATCACACCACAAACACAGTGTAGATGCCAGTTTGACAGAATGCTTTGGGGAAAAACACAAATTTTCCCAGGATAAATTAGGACCTCAACAATGTGCAAAGCAATTTTTTTCCCAATGTAGTTCCCCTTCTGTCTTAGTAAATCTTAATTTGGACAGGTACAAGGGAAAATGAAATGTGAAAATGCTAGAACTTGTATTTAACTTGTGTCCTGTATTTCGTGTTAAGCAGTAGTCAAGTAGAATTTTTTAAAACTGGAACAGAATTGTTAATCTGTTTTAATACTAACGTAATTTTGAAACAGAGAATAAATACTCTATATAAAATATTTTGTTTCTGTAACATGTTGCCAAATCTGTGAATGTCCTATTGTAACTGTCATATTATAAAGATTTATATTTTACTTGGGAGATGGGTAACAAAGATAATTTCTTTAAATATACAAGTAAAATGTCCAGAAATTTCCTGTGTTGTGACATTAATATTGTTATATAATGGTTTTTATACTCTGGCTTACTTCCAAAGGTCATTGAAATGAAGGAAAATGCTTCCTTTGCCTTCAGTGATCTTTGGCATGATTCAACTATGTCAAAAGGAAAATCTATCCAGTAGATATTTCTGCATTTGCTGTAGGCAAAAATGCTGTAAATTAAATTTCTCTTTCATTATAGTTTCCAACATAGTCTACAACCAATACTAGTATTTATTTTGCTTGAACAGATTAAAAACTGTTCTGTCAAGAAGCTATGAGAGGACAATGCAACTTAATCTATATATTATGTTTTGCTATCATATTCTATGTACTCTATGAATAACATAGCTTAGGGAAATGGTTGACATGAATTCCAGCAGAACTCTTTCAAATTTGGAAAACCTTTGTTAGGTTGCCAGTACTTCATATTTTTTAATTGAATAAATTTGATATAAATATATCAAATAGAATCCCAAAGCAAATCAACATTAAGATGACACGTCTATTATTCATGTTTTGGCAAGAATATAAAAATAAGCTTTTCCAGAGTGTGTCAAATCATTGTCAAGATATGCACAAGAATAGATACTAAACTAAAAACCTAAAGGGTGCAACTATCACTAAGACCTCACACGTGTATTATATTTCTTAGTTTTATTTACATTATTCTGGCACTTACACGTCCAAGTTATTGGCTCAAACCATATGTGTTATTCTTGGCATAAACACAATATAAAATTATTGTTCTGCTTTTGCTATTTTAAGATCTTAGCTGTGATTTTGAAGTTCATTCTAAAAAATATTTTAAGACTCCTTAGTTACTTTAGATTATGTAAATTCTGGATTAATTGTTTTCAATTCAAGCTTTAGTTCTGTTCCTTTTTTATTGCTTTTACTCTTTTTTTTCTATGTGATTTTAAAAATATTTATGCATTCATAATTTTAAAATAAGCTTCAATATGGCAACCATGAATTGTACTTAGTAACAATTTTTTAACCCTTTTTATCTCAGAACTTCCAAATCATTTATGAATATTGAAGTCTCTTGAGATGGGATGATACCATCAGGCTTATTTCCCAGAAGCAGAAAGTTGAGCAACGGGAGTCTTAAGTGATTTGACAATTTACACACAGACTAAGTGTCAGTATCGATGATACTACACCAAGATTCACATCTTTCTGTATTCCTGAGACAATGACTCTCTAAGATAATCATCCACTTTGGCTCTTATCCAGGTGGATTCACCTTTCTTTCTGCACTCCACAAGAAACACGAACACTGAATAGCCAGTTTTTGAGAAAAAGAATGGAAAATTTGATTCATAAATGGCTAGATAACTGAAGATACAACAGTACTTTCAGACCAAGTAGTAATAATTGTATATATGTTTAATCACTTTTTAGAATACTTATTCCTCCACAAGATATAAATATTTATTGAATTGACTTTATGCAATAGTCAAAAAAGCCCATAAAGCCAACTGAACACATCACAGTTTACAAGAGTCTCAGTTTGAGATACTCAGAATGTAAAATCACTTGTTTAAAAAATAAAAAGGGCAAATACCTTTTTTTCTGTATAACTACATAAATTTAGACCATTTTCAGATTCATGGAATAAAACACTTCCAGTGTTCAAAACCCCTATGAAAATATGTATACTATGATTTGTGTAAAAACCAATGTGGGATTTTTTCCCTAAGCTATCTTATTTTTCTTTTTTAACGCCTTCCCAGCTTTTTTCATTTTTGTCTTCAAATAAACTTTTTTTCTTAGGTATAAGATGAGCATGGAAGAATCCTTAGGAAGAAGAGCATGACCTTTCTCACCACAACTCTTTATTATGGCAAATTTCTGCTCTGGCATTTTTAGACTAATATAAACTTATATCCAACACAAAAGAGTTTAGGGGCAATATTCTGAGTAATTAAACTAATGATATTTCCACCATAAGCAAAGTCACATTTTCCCACAATGAAGACATAATTTTTCACCTAGGATACATACTTTGCCTTATGGAACGCTGAGGAAGACACCATTGTTCCAAAATTTACCGGTTTATGGTAAAATTTAGGGTACTAAGCATAAAGTGTTCATGAAATTGACAGGTAATCTATAAAGAATATCCATGAGATACAGAGTTTCCTAGGTTTATAAAAGAACTGAAGACTGTAGTAACAGAAAATGCCTGTGAAAGTTGCTGAAATGCAAATTATGCCTTTCTAAAGGTGTGTATGACAACACTGAGCTTAGGGGACATCAACGGCAGTGTAACATTTGGCAGGTGGTGGGAGTCCAGTAAAGTGACTCCTTCCACGAGTAAATCAGAATTCCAAATAAACTGAGAAATACCATCCTACTAATGAGGGTAGACTAAAGCCTAAGACTCATGATTACTTGCACAGAACATTTTCCTAAATAAAAAACAGTCTCCCCAATTCTTACATTAGAAAATGAAAGGGATGTTGGCAAATCTCCCAAAATACACATGAGTAGCTAAGGAAACTACAATATTATATATGCCACATAATATTTCCAGATTAAATGATACCTTTACAGTCTAATTTAATCCAATTTGCATCTCATCCTTCATCCTATTTTTTTTCTCAATGTAGAAAAATCCATGCAGAAACATGTAGAAAAAAGTTGATTTGGTTCACATTCTCTTGAAATTCCCTTAGGAACAAGGAATGAACAACTGCCAATCCAGGGATGAGGCAGTATTAGCTTTGTGCACATTGTCCTCTCCTCTGAAATCAGTGGGTTTTTAAGACCCAGTGAGAGTATGTTAGAATGTTTGTGAAAAAAGAGAAAGACACCAAGCAAGGCTTACTTGAAAGTAAGATGGGTGAAACTATCAACTTTACAAAGACTGACTGGACTGAGAGGGGACTTGGACTGTGCTCGAATGTTTTACTTTTATTCCAAAGCAGACCTAAGTTCTTCTATAGCAAATACTCACTGCTCTGCACTGGTTTTCAGTGAAACACTGCTCAGACACAGTGCTTTCTAGTCATTCAAGTATTCACTTAAAGGAAACAAGGGAAAATAAATTCTCCTCAAATGCCTAGCCAAGCTATTGTCCCTTCTCATCAACTATTAGAAGGCTAGCTTCACTTGTAGGAAGAGACTTGCAACATTTTTGTAAATGAGCATGATTAATAACACCTTGCTTAAACTGGTTTTGTCATTGGAGACAGAATCATTTCTCAGGACTTCTGGAAGATTCTAGAAAAGAGGATGACTAATACACTTGGTACTTTTAATGTGGTTATTAATTTGGGTATTATTAAAGCTGGTTATCTCCATACCTGTTTTGGGTCTATTCCAAAATAAGAACAATTTTAAAAATAGGAGGTTACAAGCAAATCAAAATAACTGAAGATTTCTGAAGGAAAGAAGAAGATTGATGGGATGGAAGGGCTTAGGAACTGTTTCTAATGATCTCAACAGTATGCCCAAACTTTGAAGTAGAACTGTCCAGTGGTTCTTTGTAACAAAACCCGATCCCTTACTATGACACAGAAACACCTGAGCTAACATTCCAAGTTAGTTTTGCTTCTGTGGAGAATTTTGTGCTGACATTAAAATAAAATAAATAAATGGGAGCAAATGAGGCCATTTCCTAGCTAGGTATGCTGGAAACTAACAATTGATTGTATACCAGTGAATAACTTAAGAACATGGGTCTCTTTTTATTCTTCCTTTTTTTTCTGAAGGAAATATACAGTTCTTACTGTGTAGAAATGTTTGAGGTGTGATTAATTACTTCCTCAGACAGATACTGCCTGTGGCTCTGCAAAGGAAGGAACTGGAACTCCTTTTTCAGCAAGAAATTAACCAAGCACAGTCACATGGGAAAAAAAAAAACCAACCAAAAAAACCCTCTCTCTTTTACATCTGTAGCCTTAAAGGCTCAAACATAACAAAAGAGAGAAGTGGGTCCAACTTGCCAGGCATCAAGTCTATCATATGCAGTTAAAAATTAAACATGGCCCTTTTTCATCAAAAGTAGTGTGTACATCAGTGTGAATAAAACAACTGGTAGTAATACAGTGCTACTGACAGGAATACTACTACAAATTTTTTTTTCCAGAATAAATGTCAATAAATGTCAGAAAGTAGTGAAGAGTTGAGAAATGGAGTGTACCAGGTCTTCTTTCCAAATAGGAGGGACTTAGTCCCATGCTGATAATCAGTAGCAAGGTGGTTACACAAGCAAACAGGAACACACCTTTGTTTTACTGACTTACAGACCAAATTTAAAGGAAGATTCCATAAAAAACCTCCCAATATGCACATTTAGGGTAAGAAATCTAACTAATATTCAGGAAGACAATAACGATTAGATAACCTTGGATATCTATAAGAAGAGAAACTATATTCCAAAGCACCCCCAAAATTCATGTTCCTCTAAGATAAACTGCAAGAAGATCTTGTCAATACCACAGCTCTGCAGATTGCAACGTCCTCATTAATGAAGCTGACATTATCTGACTTTTTTCTTTAGCCTAAGAGTTGACATTACAACAGCAATGTATCCATAAAATATAAAATCAGTAAACAACCGAAAAAAATATTGTTCTTCAGGTAGAATACTGAAAATTTCCTGCTTTAGAAGGAATTGGAAGCACAATTTGCAGTAAATATGTGCATCTTCTGATCCAGGAATAGCATTTGGATCTAGAGTTTTAAGTGGCAAAGTGTCACAAAATTTATGTTAACTAATAAATAACTAGAAATCCTGACACTACAATCAATTTAAAAAAACAAAGCATTAATGCTCAGAGCTACTTTAAAAGTACGTATTCTTGTGTTGTAATGGGCTAGATTTAACTACCTCAGACTAAAGATACCAATTCTTAACATTTACCTGGAGATGCTAAGTGTGACACTGTACAAAATCAAACCAATTTCATGGCAACAATGTGAAATAAAACATGCAAGGAAGGTAATAATAACACACTGTGTTTGGATTAAAACATCTAACCCCCTCCATGTGGGGGAACTCAACATGCTTTGAAATTAATTTTTATAGACTCCTTTAGCCTTGCTACCACTGTCTGGAATCAGAAGTGCTAATTCACAAAAGGAAGGTTGCCTTCCTTACAGTCTTGTATTACTATACAAATATAGGGAACATACTATAAAAGGATTTTGTTGGTCCTTTCTGAAGAATGTTTATACTTAAGTAGGGTGATGAAATTACAATTCATTTTACCTTTAGGTGTTGGAATTGGTCTCTCAAGTCCATCCATATGACCTAAGGGGTCATTTGAATCTGGAATTTCCATTTCACCTACAAAGAAAAGAAGATCTTGTTAAAGTGGAATTGAAGCTAATCTTTCTGTTAAACAGCATTATAACAGTGAGTTCAGCACATTCTCCCAGTCCACATTCTGCCTCCAGAGTTGCACATGGGAAACACAGCACACAGGAAAAACATAATGACAAGGTCAGGATTTATCCATTGCGGATTAGAAAATGCTACAATAACTACTTTGTGGATTACTTGGTGTTTGACAAAATAGAAAGCATTAAAAACTACATTCCAGTTCTTAGTAGAATAAAGTCCACATATTTTTACAAAGAATGCAAACATTTCCTGGAAGCAATGGTGGCTTAGAAAATTAAACAGTACCTGAGCTTTACTGATAGCCTCAGTTACAAAATGACATAAACTTGCTTTTAAACTTACACTATGGTAATTCAGATTCCATCTCCAGAGGCCAGACTCATTGTCACTACTGACTTTCTCATCCTACTCTCAGCCGCATCCCTAAAAGACATCTTTAGAAATGAAACTATAGTAACTGTTTACTAAGGATCTCAAAGTGTGAGGAAATGGATAGACATCTTCTGTATGCACTCCTTTTTTTCTGTCTAATATATCAGTACAAGCTAGCACACTGCAGACAGTACTTTCAAGTTCCTTCGCATTTGCAGGTCTTGCAAAACTCCAACCATTATGTATCACCTGTTTGCTCTCCCTTTAAAAAATTTAGGTAAGGAACAGAACTGAAGTTCTAACTCAGATAACAGTATAGATGTGATTTAAGTAAAACAGCTTCTAAAATGACACCACGTATTTTTTTTATATTTTCTAACTTATATTCAGTCATCCAAATTCCTTACATCCTTAGCATATCACAAAGATATGTAAATCTAAGATCATCAAGATCTGAAGTGAAAGATCTGGGATTCATTGCAGGTCTGTCAGAGGTGTTCATGGTATTGTTTTAGGCAAAATGAAGCTAGAGAAAAGACTCTCCTTCTTCCTTTTGTCCCCATTACCCTTTCTTCAAACTACAATACAACTCTGAATGCAAGTAAAATACAAGTAACCTTATCCCTACCTTACACCACATTATGAACGAAGAAAATAATTCGAGACACTTTTTTGTTTGTTTGTTTGTTTATTCTATCAACCATTATTTGGTAAGAGATTCAGCTAACTTGCCTTTATCAGGTAAAACACAGAAATCAGAGACATTCTCTACAGCAGGCTGGATCTGAAAGTATTTCTTTCATCACAGTACTGTCACTTATCACTACTTCATCCCTACCTTTATCTCCCATTGCTCGAGATCCTTTGCCTGGCAACAGTACAGATTCCAGTTGAATTGTGTGCTCATTCTCAGACACCACAAATAGAGTGATGGTGAAGACGGTGTTATACCCTTGGTAACACACTCCTTCACTTCAGAACAGCCAAGGCTTGGGCAGACATTCTGCATTTTCTGCCACTCCCAGCACTGGCCAGTAGAAATCATAGATAATATCCCCCAGCAGACTGGAGGAAGAAATGGAGATGGGGGGGCAAGCTGGCTATTGCCAACCTTGCCACTGCAAATCCCAACATGGTGCATCTTCATACTCCTGCAGGCATGGTACAGACTTAGCACCAGACTTTTAGATGTAGAGAACCTTTGCTGATCTTTTTGATTCAGGGTGAAGTGGTGAATGCATGACCACTACCAGGTATATTCTGTCAAATTTCAGCAGATACATCACATCTTGTTCTTACCAAGGGACAGCAAGACCAGCTCACCTCTGTCCCTTGCTCTTGCTTGAGCTTCTGTGCCACACAAGGTTTAGAAGGGGCAGCAGCATTTACTGGCCACAAGGAAGACAAATCCAAGATGAGACAGCCAGAGCAGAAAGAAGAGGAGGAAAACTGACCAGTTTTTTAGTCCACAAATACCTCTCATATCTTATTCTGGTGGTCATAATCCACCACCATTCACAGGGTGGAACATTATTACAAAACTGTCCTTAAGGTTATTTGATTGCTTAACACTCAGCTATCCAGACTTGCCTGAGATCTGAGCAGCACTTTTGGTTTAATACCACATCTTCAACTTTAAAATAATTGTTTCCATTTCTTCAGTAATCTCATGGGACTTAGAACAGAGAAAGACATTAGAAGTTCAGATAAATGAGCACAGAAATGTTTTCCTCTCTCATTTCTCCTTTCCAAGCCCATATCTCTTTATCTTTTTAAGTTTTTCAGAACAAAGGTGGAAAGAAACAAAAGCATTTGCTGTTCTGAAAAATTCCAAAAATAGTTGTATGTGATGCACTCTTGTACTTGATATGCTTCTGTCTGGAAAAAACATCAATCTTCATATGTGCTTGACCAGGGAACAATTACAAACTATAGATGCCACTCATCATCAAAATCTCCAGTACTAAGCAAAGTTAAAATTAAAATCCTTTGCATTCTTTGCAAATCATAAATACAAATCAGATCTGTCACTTAAACTTGCTTTTATGAAAGAAACATGTATATTTTCTGTAAACTGCAAAATTCCAGTTCAACCATATTTATTACGAATTCTAAGCTTTAATCCTAAACTTTCTCTACCACAACTTAAAACACAAAAAATTTATTATCAATTTGAAAAATAAAGTTTTTAACACTATAAAGGCAACCAGCAAGTCACTATAACAAAATCTTTTTTTCTCTTGTATTGACAGAATTTAAATATTTTGAAGTCAAGAACTTAGAACTGTGTACCCCTTCTGAATATTATTTTCTTTTTATTATTTTCAGTGCTTTCTGATTTTGCACTAATAACACAGTATGTTTTTCCTGCTCAACTCTCTGCAGTCTTACTCTTGTTTGAAGTTCCCTACACAACTACGCTCCTGTTCACTCCTGATTTTTAACTCCCTTTTCTCGCTTTGTTTAATCAATATTTCCATAAGGGTATCCCATTTTGCTTTTTTCTTCCTGCTTCCAGTATCTTCTCCTAGAAGAATATTTATGTGCTGTTGCACTCCCTGAAGGGAAAAAAAGTCCATGAAGTAATTTAAGATGCCCAATTTTCACTGTCACTTTTCATCAGTAAAAATCTAGTACTAGTAAAAACATAATTGTTCACTAAACCGGTTTTAGATATCACAAAGATACCAGATAGTCACATTGTTTTTTATCTCTATAACAAATGCAGCATTGTCATACAACACTAAGAAAAGACTTGCAAAACACAAAACTGAAAGAACAGCAGCAATCCACTATACAGTTGTTATTTAAAACTGGTAAGAAAATAAATGCTTAATAATTGAACCTTACATGTGGTCTTACCAACTCACTCTGGGAGTAAGTATGCTCTTCTTGTGTGCAATTGAGGCTCTCTTACTTCAAAAGTAAGAGTACAGAAGAGTTGGAAGAGTTTCAGAGAAGTGAGAATATTTATTCATAAACCAGTTTTTGTACTGCTACTAGGATTTGTTGCTCTGAGAAGGAGATGTCTGAGTTCAATTACTGTAAAGCTCTACGGAGTCATGAGAGTCTACAGAGTGGATGGACTCTCTTGCTAAAAATGGCAGCGCTAGAAAAAACAGTAACAATCAACTTTAAAACAAAGATAAACCAAGGCAATGTCTTCTCAGAAGAGATGCAATTGGACTGAGTGCAGAGTTCAGATGACCCACAGATAAGACTGGACAAGTTCAGTGAGACCTCTCTCACAGAAATCCCGTGTGGTCATATTAAAGTCCCTGAGTTAAAAATGGCTGGAGGCTGGGTAAATACCCAGCACAAAGGAGTACTATTTACTTAGATCTCTTCTTACACTTTTACTTCAGCATTACCTTTTTTGCTGCCATCAGAGCCAAGACTCAGCACTGCCCAGATCTCTCATCTGCTCCTGTATAGTGATTCTCAAATTTTTCACTAGCATATTTTCTCTCCACAGACATTAAGTGTATCACAGTTAATCTCTAAATACTCACTTCTTTAATTTATGTTTGCTGTGGGAGTGGGAAGTAGAAGAGATCATGAATGCCCTCTTCTCCTTCCACATTGCATGACCAGACAAGACTTCAACAGAACCAGAACTCAGCCTGAATGCCAATGGCCAGATGTGCCACTTGCCAGATACTAAGGAATACCTTATTAATCCTCTTTTCATGGAACACACAATCAAGTAAAATGCAGATGCTGTAAACAGTGACTCTTTTAAACTGCTCACCCACACAAAAATGATTTCTTAACTTTTCAAGGCACTAAAGCAAGCCATTTCAACTTATGGAAAATCCCACCCCAAAAGAAAACCCATATTTAAAATAATATAATAATCTATATTTTTGATGTAAAAATGCGTTCAGTTCCTTTGATTCACATAGTGAACTGTAGCAAGGAAACAGGTGCTATAGAAAATTCTTTTCCTACTTGTACATAAATAATCACTTATTTTTAGTTTCGCTTCTCCTGAAAACATGAGGACAACTTTCTTACTGACAAGATTCAACACAGGTAGGCTCACTGCTCCATCTTATGCACCAATGACCAACGAAATACAGAAGCAAATATTCAGAGTTATTGGGGCAGGAAGGCTCTTTTACACTTTTGAAAACTAAGTTGCCCAGCTGATCACACTATCAGCTCACAGGGCACACACCACTCATCATAAAATAACTGATTTTTTCCTCTGAAATGGTTATGACTTCGCAGATCATTCATTACCTGAACGCTAAGTGCAATAAACGGATCCCAAAATGCTCATGGCCATAAGCAGACATCAAAACAACACATTAATCTTCATCAGAAATCCAGTCACAAGGAGGGGGTTACCATAATTGATACCAGGAACAAAACAAGGCCTCAGTCTCACACAGAAAGAAAAAAAGAGTACTCAGGTATTTTCAAACAGAGTGGGCCTGATTGATCCAGAGCAGCTAAGGGCGGGCTGATGCAATACCGTGCAATGCTATTAACTGTCTTTCATTATTTGCAGAGCACAGATGAGATCTTAAAATATGAGAAATTGCACGAGTGTTTCCTATTATTTATTTAAAAGGGTAAAAAAAGGTGTGCCAGAGAATTATAGAGCTATCAGCTTAGCTTCAATTCCTGGAAAAATAATAGAACAAAGGAGTTATTTTTAAGCATTTACGATAAAGCAGAGAGATGAGTAATAACTAAAATAGAAGCCAACGTTGACTTGGCTGACACTGATTAGAATCAGACATAAGTCAACAATTGCAAGGTACTGCAAACAAGGCAGACTTCAAAAAAAAAAGCAGTAATCTTCCCCCTTTACTCAAAGCTAGTAAGGCCCTAGACTACTTTCTTCAATTTTCTGTGTTCCATTTCAAGATAGATGAGAGTAAAAGTAAAATACAATTACTAGCACCATGAAGATACTCTACAAAACATGATTAAGAAAATCAAAAACATAATGATTACTAAGCCTTGTAGAAGAAGGCTGAAGAAGATTAAGCTATGGACTGAGAACAAGTATTCTTCAAACACAGAGGTCTCAGTAGATTAAATTTTCTAGTGTGGCAGATTTGGGAACAGTCTAATGCATATGATACTGCACAGGTAATAGACGCTTCTTCTCCCAGATGAAACAGGACTTCTTAGGATCTCTTCCAATCTATGATTCTATGAATGAACCATCCCTCTACCACTGTATTTTAAATCCCAAAGCCTACAAATAAATCCTTCAACACTAAAAATTGCACAGCCCTACAATTAGCAAAGCTGCAGATTTTTGTTCTGACGTTTCTTCCACTCATCAATAATCCTGTTTCTGTAGCTGAAACTATTTTCAGATTTAAACATCAATATGCAACCTTTGCTTCCTGCGGCTGTAACCTTTTAGTCAAGCTCTAACTTTCTTCCAATAACGCAGAACTCCCAAACTCTCTCTTTTCAGCCTAATGCCCTCTAATATTCTGTTCTTTTCTTCATAAAACTTTGTTGACCTTCTGTCAATTACTAGCCTCTGGAGTTCCCAAACAAAGGGCCCACTGTACCCTTTGATTCAGCTGCCAATCTGATTACTTTGGCTGGGGGAGGCAGGCTGCTTGGGTTGCTGAATCAGGGTCTTTCATTGAAATTTCTCTTTTCCAACATCTGCAGCCCCTGGCAACCAATTGCAGAGTGGGCTTGGCAGACCTGTAAAGGGTGGTGAATAGGCTACAAAAGATGCAGTTTGTAGCATAAAATCAGTGCACCCCTTTCATAGTGATGGCAGATTAGAACCTTCACAGCACACGTTTCTTAACTGCTGCAGCTTCACATAAAAAAAAGCTGAAGGTGGGGAAAATAGCCTTCACTTTCT